TAATGATTGTAACTGATTGTGTTCTTTTCAACGTTGTATTCTTTTTCTAACAATTTGATGACTTTGCAGATTATCACTCAATTGATTTACCAAATGATTAGCTAAATTTCGATCAATTCTATCCTGAGATTCTTAAATAACTATTTGAGTTCGAATTCCACGAGGATGGTTAGAACGAGAAAATACTTCATGAGATTTTTGTAATTCTAATATTAAAGAAATATCACAATTTCCATTATTTTTGAATAGTTTCTCTTCATTATCTTCTTTTAATTCTTGTTCTTGTAAAATGTTTGATTCTGGATTTTTAATTATATAATTAATTTCTATTTTCTTTATAAAACTTTCAGCTTCAGCAGTATTAATTTCTAATGAATTTGGCTCATCACATTCATTATCTAATTCACTATTCAAATTGTCTGAAATATTATAAAAATAATTATCTAAATTATCGTCCAGCTGTGAAATTCTATTTAGCTCATCTGCAGCTTGATCTATAGTCAGAATTTGAGTCATTTTTTTATTCTCTAATTGATTATTATCATCAATTTCAGGTATAATCACTGTATTACAGCTATTTTTTAATTGTTTACACATATGAAGAAGTTTTGTAAATGCATTCGCATTTTCATGAGCAATTCTTATAGCATCATCTATTTCATTATCTGATGGCCAAGTTCACAATCTATTAATATCCATATCTGAAATGCATAGATCAAAATCAAAAATATAATCTATAATCAAATAAATTATATAAATATTTAAATATTTAAATATTTAGAAAAAAAAACATATTAAACACAATTTACCTGATGCAGATTTTTTTTCTTAAATATTTGAAATATTTTCACTACATAAAATATTATTCCTGTGTTGTACTTTATTTAATATTTTATATAATTCATAATAAGAAAAATTTGGCATCAATTGCCTGACAATTCCAAATAAATGTTCAAATGCTTCTGTGTCATGCTTTCAAGGAAAAAATGGATAATTTGGATAATAATCTCTATGGTCCAAAATAAGCAAAACTAGAGACTCTGCTAAGCTACAAAATATATTAAAATTTTGTGTTGAAATACAACTTTTATTTATATTATACCATCTTGTTGAATGTGATATAGCGCATTTATTAATATAATTTTTTCATGCATGTAGGAAAAAATATATATACATTGTCATTATAATTCTAGTTTTATGAGAAATACTTTTGTTGAGATAAGAATCGAATAACTCATCTATATCATAAAAAATTTTGGATTTTAATTCTGATGCTAATATATTAAATTCAAAAAAGTTATTTAAAAATCACTTACCAAAAATAAAAAGATAGATGAATAAAGCTGTTTTTTCAGGATCCAAACACCTATTATTTTGACATTGAGCCAAAAAATTTGAAGAAAAACTCTATATGCAGCTCTATCATCTTGTTTATTTACATTTATAACATCTCAAATATAAAGTGCAGAATTTTCTTCCTAAACAAGTTGATAAATTTGATCATATCATACAGTATCACTTCCCAAGACTAAAAGACGAGCTCTATTATGAATTGTATTTCTTCCATTTTTTTTAGCATGCTTGGGATTTTGAATATGAATTATTGGCTTTCTAGAATAAATGGGTGCTCAAAAATATACATTATGAATTGTATTATTGTATGTAAGAAACTCATGTGTTTCGTTATTTTGCATAAGTAATATCTATGCATTATATTCTGTAATTACGCTATCTGCACCTATACTTACTAAATTAATATTTACTTGAATTAACATCTTTACAATTTTTTTTAAAATTGTAAAAATTTCTTGAGTAGTAGTATTACCTTTTGTTGGTAATAAAGCAATAACAATTGGAGGAATTTTGCTAATAGGAATCTAAGAAATTTCTTATTAACTTTAAATTAATTAAAACTTTATTATAGTAATTATTAAATGATTAATTACCTTTAAAACAACACATCTTACTTGTGATACAACAGCATTATTATTTTGAACTTCTTTAATTTTTAAATGTATATCGTCATATATTATTATTCTTGTATTATCAAAACTTAAAGTTGATCCAACTATACATCCCAATTTTTGTGAATAAGTTAATTTAACTCAAATTTTAGTGCAATCTGTCATAACAACTACTGGCCCTGTCCATTTTAATACTTTCATAGCATGAGCAAATCGTATCACATTCTTATACATAAGGTTAGAATTAGTTAAATAATCTCCATTTTGAACGCGTAAATATCTATTACATAAAAATAATTATATTTTAATATCATTTTGGTTATATTAAACTTTGATTATAAATAATTTTATTACCTTATCGATCGTAAATCCATACCTTCTAACATTTTGTGAAATATACCATATTCACTACTACTGTCTGATAATAAACTAAAGAAATGATGATGTTCAGAATATCGTAATGCTTTTTTACTTTTTTCTTGTTCTTGAATTTCTTTGATTTGAAGCATTAGTTCTGCTAGTTCACTAAATGTTTTATCAGTTTTGAGTGCACATTTCTTTCCATATTCAGCTAATTTTGATCATATTTGACTTTCATCTAAATCCTCAACTGCATTTCCATATAAAGTTTTTAATTTATCATTTCCTAAAAGCTGAACCAATTTATTATCTCGAAGATGTCATTTCGTAGTATATTTAAAAGTTTTCTTAATTGCACGCGGCTATAAATTCAAATTTTGACAATAATTTAAAATCAATATTATATACCATAAAATAATTTAAAATAAATATACCACACTGATTGTATTATGAAAACATGAATAATTTTTTAATCTATCACATTCCTCACATATTTTGGATTTATGAGGAGTAAATTTAGTACATTTAATGCTCATTACTGATAAATTTCCTTGATCTAAAACCTATGATGCATATGGGCTCTTTGCAATAGAAAGGGAGGAAACTACCAAAAAAATTTTTTTTGAATTAATGTTAAATCTGGACTTATTTTATTAAAAAAATAATATTTAGCTTATAAAGCAAAAAAAAATTTTTTTGGTAGTTTTCTCCCTTTCTATTGCAAAGAGCCCATATGCTCTTTGTGCATTATAAAATTCTTGTCATTCACTATAATTTAATTTGTTATAAACTAGATGTTCATCTTCAAATTTTTGTGAAAACAATCGACAAGTAAGTTCTGTTTCATTTTTTGAACCACCAAAATCTAATAGGCATCTTAGTACATATTATTTAATTTGATCATTTGTTAAACTCTGACAGGAATAAGGTTACCTTTTTGATAATATATTTTCATCATTAGTTTTAAAATATTTTTCAACGCTAACTTGACCTTATGATTTAGCACTACATGCTCTTTTACTACGTATATGGCTAAAAAAAGCTGAATCAATTAAATTTTTTTTTAATAAAAAATTAAGTACAGTATAAATAAATATTTACTTACGTTTTTAAGTTTTTTAATGAGTATCGCTTATCTAATTTTATTTCTTTTCCACATATGCATCAAACATATTTTGGATTAATTAGCTATGAAAAGTATTTATATCTACGCAATTTTATTTCCTTAGGACACATATAAGGTTTTCCATCAAGTGGTAATTCGTTATATTCATCATTACTACATTCATCTAAATTATCATCAGATTCATTATCAGTTGACAGATCTGTATCATTATCATTGCTAATTGATAGATCAGTATTAATTTCACTATAGGAATGTTTTTTATTAATCGAAGGGAAATTAAGAGTTATTTGTCGTAGTTGATTAGATATAATTTTTCTGCTATTATCTATAACTTTATCTTTACCCTTTTTAATAGATAATACAGAAAAATTAAGAGTTGATTGCATATAATTTTTTTGTTTTGAGCTTTCTCCATTATTATATTCCATTGTGTGAAAAAAAGAAAGCAAAAAAAGTTGCAAAAAAATCTTTTAATGCTTATTTCACATGACATTATGTACTATTACGACTTCACCAGGATCCGTAAAATAACTGGTTATTAGAGTACAAAATACTATTAGAAATTTGGAATGGAATTTTGCTGAAAGACTGTAAATACTCGAAATACTCAGTAAATATATCAAATATTAAAAAAGTAATTATTATATAAATTGTAATACAGTACTAATAAATATATATATCATATACGTTATATTTATATATAATTTTACCTATACTACTAATAGGAATCCTTTATAAACTATTAATAAATTTACTTTTATATTAGCCGGAAAGTAAAAAAAACTTTACCCTATAAAAACTTGAGCATTTTTTAAGATACTATGAAATTTACCTATAGCTTAGCCAGTAACTTTTGAGATTTTTTTATATAAACTTTACCTAGTCTACATACCGGGAACATCAAATATAAGTTTTCGGGATCCTACCAATATTAATGTAACAAATAATTTTGATTTCGGGATTTTATATTAACACAATACCACAATAACCCAATTAATACTAAACCATTTTAGAATATACCGATAGTGTCTTTATTAATTATAAATACTAATTTGTTATACATGTTTAATGTACAAATATAAATTCTAATTATGATGAAACCATTTTGTCACGTGATATATATATGCACCAATAAAATTACGAGCTTTCTTTATCACGTGATAAATGATCGACATCTCAAATTTGGCCGCTTAAAAAATTTTTGGTTGTATGCACTGTATGTTTCTGTAAAAAATAAAAAATTATTGAAAAAATAAAAGCGTGCAATACTTTTGTCCCCCCCCCCCGATATGCGATTCTCACGTCACACAGCCCTATTCTTCGGCAAGAGTTTTTCCGATATCGTACTGCGCATTTCAGGTGATCGATCTACCCTGCGTTATCACATGAGGTGGCGTAGTATTCCGGATAGTTCTAGGACATTCGCGATTTATTATGGAAAGGTTATAAAGGATTTTTTTCTGTTACCATTTGTTCTGTTTCCCGTTTGTCATTTTCCTTTAATCCTAACAAAAAACAAAATGAGTGTCGCAACATAAGGCTCGGAAGACATGCCCATCCAAGTGACTCGGGAGACCAGACGAGCCTCCAAAATTAACCAGGTATTTAAGTGATGTTTAAAACAAATTAAGAAATGGCAATTATGGCTAACGAAGTATGATAGATCTTCGCAAAGATTGATGACTCATTAACGCAAATGAAAGGTCAAAACATTATAAAGATCAATATCCCAGATCTTGAAAAAGTTGATAAACACATGCGTGAAGCAATACACAGTGAATACAATGCTCAAATAATCGATAGTGATATATTTATCAAAGTAAGTTTTATTCCGAATTACATTTACATTTACTGCTGTATTATTAATATTAAATCTGACCAAATTATTTAGTGTGATGGAAAACATAAAGAAGATATTCAAGCTGAACTTTTGATCTCAGCTAGGGTACATAATCCAACTTGGTCCGTATCATTAAATACAATATGCGTGGTTGGGGGCAATAGCTATCAACCTGATGTTGGCATCTGGTTTCGAGCACCAACATATGCACAATGTCATAACCCAATTGTAAATTCGTGTCCACCACCGAACGTATACGTAGAGGTAAATAAATTCTTGTAGAGAAGAATTGTAAATTGCTTTGCTTATCAGATTCGAACCTTGCAGGTGTTTTATAACCGAGATCCAGATCGTAGTAATGCGTTGAGGAGAATTAATAATGTTCGGCTAATAAATCCTGCGATTGAATTTATTGGAATCTGTCTTCCTGATTCAGCTCGACCCTATAATCAGAATCCTTTTCCTAGGGCAGTTTCAGTTCCAGCAATTCAACAACAAAATCAAAGACCTCATCAAGCTCCATATTTGATACATTGGGATGCTAACCAAACTCCGGTTTATTATATAATGAATTGGAACGAGCACTTACTTCTTAGGTGTGGATGGGCGCTCGAATTTAATTCTGTGCTTAGTATAATTTCTCGTCATTAAATGAAGTTGGTATTATATACGACTTGAATTCAACAATCAATTCTTTTTTATCATATATGTTTTGTTTACATAGATAGATAAAAAAAAAAAAAAAAAAAATAACATATTATCTTTCGACCAGTACAGTTGCGATTTGGACATATTTTTCCTAATGTATCTTTAATTTCAAAAATTCCTTTTAATGAAATTTTTAATTCGATTAGACAAATCACTTTAGGTACATATATACATTTGCAAATAATACAAAATAAAGTTCAAATATTTTGCTGAATTTCAAATCTTCCGATCTCTTTCTACTCTCATCTCAAATGCATTTTTCGTAAGATCATTGGGAAGTATTTCGCGAATTCATAGTTTAGTTTCTTCTGACCTCTATAAAATTTCTATAGATGTCAAATCTATTCTCAAGTTTAAGAATTTCTAGATTCGTACTCCCGATTTTCTCCTCAGTCTTGATAATAGCGTCATACAAATTAGTAAGATTTCCTGGGGTTCGGGTTACGATATTGAAATATCATGATCAGCACTTGGTGATGCTTTCAACTCCTCAATAAGCTTTTTCAGCATAGGCAACTCATGCAACGCGCGTTTCGCTTTTTTTCTGCCAGAGGTATTCTCCACACTTGGCCGTTTGCCAGATTCATTCAGGGTTGCAGAAGTCGTGGCTTTATCATCATTAAAATCTTGTGGAGGCAATAACGGATCTCTATCATCACCCACACCACATGAGCAATATAATGCTCCTCTCTTATCAGGTTTGTTCGCACAAGTCTGATGGATCACGTCGCCACATACATTTAAAACGAGCGATCTAGGCGGGTCTTCTGAAAAAATAGGCATATCACAATCTCCACATGGTCCATTATCAGGGATAGCTTCGTTTGATTTAAATGACGAAAAATCTGGCTCTTCACGAAGAATAACCTCTGGGAGGTATTATTTCATTTCAATATATTTATGGCAAAATTTTTTAGACCTGTTGCGTTCTGGTTGCACATTATAAATGTCATGGCTTTGAACATCACGGCTTTGAGCGGAGGTGTTTATGATATCCTCCACATTGATGCCCTCCATACACTCCATATTGATATCCTCAGCAGTAAGCGGATTTTCGACTTCTGTATTAGCTGAGCTCTCCATAACTTGCCCACTTATCATTAACGTGGTCCGAAAAAAATAGCTATCTCGCCGGCTAAAGGTTTTTTATAGCACTTATAAATTTCGTTGTTTTATTAATACTTGCAAAAAATATGAGAATTTGTCCTTAGTAATGACGTTACTATGCTAATAATATACATGATTATTTTTTCAAACGATAACCCTCTATTCTAGCTTTAGACTATTGGTTAGTCAACACCAAGCTAATAGAACCCTACCATCCACCAATATATGAAGATAGGTTCTTTGACCAAACAGTTGCCAAAGATGACTAGATTGCCATTGCTTTGAGCATCTGCTCTATTTCATCATCTGATCTTTCACGATTCTCCTCCTTAGCTATTTGATAATAAAGTTTATATAATTCTTCTAGGCTGACACACAGATCATTATCTGCATATCTTTTGCAATAATTTTCTAGCCTTAGAGTGTATGCCTCTTCGTTGGGAAACATCTTGACTGCGACTGTCTTAATATAGTCATTCGGATTCTTTTCAACTCGCAATTTCTTTAGATAGTCTCCATAGTTTTTCGCAAGATTATCATATTTTTTGCCCTTTCGCAATGCAGTTTTTATGACTTTGATTTGCGCAAGTTTTATATCCTTATGATCGACCATTTTGTATTGTTTCTACTATAACGATAGAAAAACTTTAATTAATAAAATTGTATTCTTTGATAATTTTTACCTCTGGAAAAAATATTTGTTATAAAGCATCTATTTCTTAACTCAAAGTCTAACTTTCATAGCCCTTTCTTCTGCTTCCTTAGGAGATATTTCAGATGCTACCAGGCGTTTGTATAATCCAATTCGCCAATATCCATATGGGAGAGTTTGAATTCCATCAAGTAAGATCTAGCGCTTATTATCATATGGATTCATCCCTATCTTATTTATCCTCTCCAGATATATTTGATGATCATAACTTCAGAGGCCATACATATCATGTTGGGTTAGTTTCTTGTTCCTAAGACATTCTAGAAATTTGTCATGTTGAAGTTCCCTTTTGATTACGCATTTTTTTATATCCTTTACCTTTTGGATGTCATGCTTTTTCTCCCAATACTTTACACCCTGAGATTTTCTAAATTCTTCTTCTTCTAACTCTTTTTCGAAATCTAAATCTGTTTCAAAAGTTTAGAATCATGGCCTGCTAGAAGAACTGAATACATTTTTGGCTTTAAGCATACTGATTCGCCTATTGGATCCCTTTTGTCTCATCCTTCATTAGAAACAAGTCTCCTGAATAGTTAAGATCGAAAATATCTGGTCTTTCAACTCAATCTTTATAGATATCCCCAGTTTCTATCCACATAATAAGTAAGTCTGTATCTGTATAAAGTAGACAGGCTTTTTTTTCATAGCGAGACTTTATGTAACTGTACCAAAAGTTAAACATCATGGCTTTGCTAATGTCAAGAATTACCTGCCTTACATAGATTGGTTTGTTTAAAGTTATTGTGTTCTTTAACATGTGGATTGCTATAATCCTTCCTTCGAATACTTTAAAGCCTACATACAATGGTAAACTTGCTAAACGCCTGATTTTTTTATCCTCTTCTGTTTGGAGTAATTCTACTCTCATATGTTTACAAATATTTTCTATTTGTTTACCAAAGACTGCATTGTTCTTTATCTTATAATACATAACCCCAAACTCATTCCCATTAGCTTTAGCAATTTTATGCTTGCGAATATTTTCTCAATATAGTCTTTCATTCATGAAAATTGCCAAAATTTAAGAGCATCATGAATCTTTGTAACCTTCATCCTGAACTTTATATATGTCTAAAGAACTCGATAATAAATCATGTAATTCTTTTTAGAATAAAGGGTTTGGACGAGCTTTTCTCCTGTTGTATATTTTTTGCCTCCAACTTCTTTATCATGTACTAATTTTTCATTATATAAATTAAGCCATTCTTCTGAAACTATCTGCTTTTCTAATGCTAAGGGATAATCTGTAAAGTAGTTATGTAAGTACACTACCTGGAAATAAGTTTGCGCAGTTTTGAAAAAATAGTAAATAAATTTGTGCAGTTTTGAAAAAATAGTTTATTATC